ATAATTTACTGATACCAAATTTAGGTTATAATTTCTGCCTCATTTGAACTCTTCCAGGAGTGTTATCTTGACGCTGAAATTTTGATCTTGCAATAACTGCACTGTCAACAATCGCTCTTTCCCAAACTGCAAAAAACATCGTTTCTATTGACTGGATCTTCAAATTTTAATTACGTTTGCCTTGCCAGTAATCTTATCAGAAAATTTTGAAATGATAATCACGAACATTTAATCTTGTTCAAGGACAGAAATTTTTATGATTAGACATCAAATGAATATTTGTCTATACATTTATATCAAATATTTTTAAATAGTTCTACATGCTGTACGAGCTGTGATCAAATCAAATTCACGGACTTTTTGCTCTCTCCGTCAGTGGGCATGAAAATTCTTGTACTCGATAGATTTTTCATATTAGCAATGCCTTTTGTAACTAGTGAACGGAAATTTTTTAGCATTTATCGTTTAGAAATAATAAAACTACCGGAAAAAACCTTGTAGAGCGGCAAAATTTACCAGTAGAATACCGACGAAAACCAGGTGCACCGAAAACTTTGGATATGCGGAGATGCCCTATCGGTTTTCCGGCCGACCTTCCAGCACTAAAAACGATTTTTAGAATGTCACAGAGTCTTCCGGAGATAAAGATGAATATGAAGAAACTGTCAACGAGAATTTAGAAACTGTTATAAAACGGTCCGAAATCGTCTTTGTTGGGAGGGACTTTGTTACAAAAAAGTTTCTGTCACTGACTATTGTTTTTCGATTTCAGAATTTAAAAAGCATGGGTTTTTGAGCAGAGCCTTTTACAATGTAGCTACTTCGTCATATTTAAAAATTTTTAACCCATTAGAAATTTTTGATGTCTTCAATCCTTTCGGATCACCTTATTTTAGACATGTAATTCACCCAATTTTTTTTCATTATAATTATTAGACCAACTAAAGGTTGAAGTAATTCAGCACAAAGCCCAAGCTCGCATCTTTTACTGCATAGAGGGGTTTCATTACGGGCAGCTTTAACGATAGTTTAGAAAACAGTAAAAAAAATTTTTTTTGGAATTGTATCAGTGGTTTAGAACAATAATTTCTGAAAAGTATGATAGAGGGCGGTAGTGGAAGATGACGATTTTTGATGGTGGTTAAGTAGCCTGAAAATATATTTTTTTTCTTATTTGAGACGATAAACTAAAAAAAGTTTGGGAAAAACTAGTTTAAACATCTATTCAAGTTCTTTATTACACTATATCTGTAATAGTGATTTCTGGTGATTATGATTACAAAGTTGTTTTGCTTTTTCGTACTCCGTGAATGAAGGCTTCATTATTTCCTGAATGCTTTTTTGGAAAAAAGTAAGAGTATTTTTTTAGCGTAGAAGCCTCTTCATTCATTTTGAAATTGGTCTCTGAAGGAGTTGAAAAGTTACTCTAACTTAGAATGTGAGGTAAGATGACTAGGTAATATTGTGAACGGTATTCGAATCGGTATTTTTTGTTGTGAGTCTAGCAGCAGAAATTTAGGTACTGTTCCCCAAAGCTTTTTTTGAAAGATATTTGATATTCAGGACAGGTACATTTATAGACGTGCACTTTCTTCTCTTTCTGTTTCGTCACTATTCATCTATTCGGAAATTCGTTTCATTCTTCGCCATTACTTTTTAAATTGCCAGTTTTAAAGTGTCCTTACAAAAAAATTGATTTTCACAAAGCGTCATTTTTAATGCTATTGTTGTACGGTGAAGAGTTTTACCTGAATAGACCTATTGTCTTTAGTAGAAATAGCGTATTTGCTACTTAATCTGCGGCATATTCATATGGTGGAGTGGAAAATTATACGCACAAAAAACGGCTAGAAATACAAGCAAAGGAAAAGTAAATCTTTTCAAGGCAAGTTTCCAACACTGAGGTAGCTCATAGAACTGAAATTTATAATGTGCTGGAGTTTGTTTGGATCACAGTGGATCTGCAGTGTCCGATCATTTATGAGAATGAGCCTCAGAGTGTTAAATTTCTATGCCACAAATCTGCAACATCAGTGTACGTCGTCGTATACATTGAGTAATATCGAAAGGGACAATTTCAGGTTAATTAAGCAAACACAGTTAAAGTTTGGAACTAGAAGATGAAAAAGTAAGGGAAAATTTACTTTTTTGGCTCTTGAAAATTTGAAATTCTTGAACTTTTTATGAGATTTTTTGTGAAATTGTGGAACAGGCAACAAAGCCAAAAGTTTTTAGAGATTCACTGAAAGCATTTTTTTGTCTTATCATCCTTCCGCCTGGCTTTGCTATATACCCTCCCCACTGTGCTTGGAAAACTCATACTAATTCATATTCTTTTACCGCCTCCTTGATCACTTGCTCTCCAGATAGAAAACACCGTAGGAAATAGCAACCTTATAATATGACAGGCACCATTTTTCTTTATTAAAATGGAATCTGAAATAGAGTGATATATGTAAGAGCAGTGAAGTATAGATTTTTATGTGGCGGTTTCCTCTGTTGCCTTCTACAGAGCCTAACGAATATGATTCATCCTCGTTGAAGTGGTTGGAAATGCTTCCAGAATTGCTTCCAGACCATGTGTTAACTTGTCGTGAATAGTGGTGATCGTGTGGAGCACTGCTTTAGTGACCGACTCGACAGAATTTTTAAATCAGTCAAATGTCACCGGTTTAGAAAAGTAACTTTAACTAGAAATTAACTTTACATGTATTGTGCACAACGTCTGGACAAAAATTACAAAACTGCATAAAGCATAAATGCGCTGGTTTCTCTTTAGCTCATTCCCGGGTTTCTGAATTTACAGTTCTCTAAACCGCTGCAGACGTGGAGGTCTTGTAGCTTTTCATAACTTACATTATATTTTTTTGAACAAATGTTTTGCAAAGACGAAAAGAACTAGGAAATATCAAAAGTTTATAGAAAAATCCTGTTCTGAAACTTTTAGCGGACCTAAAAAAAGTGCTTTCAGTGAGGTGACGCATTTTGAATTGGAGTTATTTGCTTTGATAGTTACTTTCAAGAAACAATTGTAAGAAAGGATCTATAATTTTTTTTCACTACTTTTTTTCTTCACCATTGTACTGATTCTTTTTATTGCTTTAAACTGTTTTGGTTCGTTGATTGCAGTTGACTACTCTTTGAAGCGCGATTCGAAATCAAACAGCCAACTATGTAAGGACGAGCGTAAGCTGGCGACGGCCGAAAATACGAAATCGAATGATTGCAGCTAATACAACGACCCATACACTTTCTGTAAGCAGTTATTCTAGCGCCAGCATTCATTGCTGCTGACACTATAAATGCTGATGAGTGATCCGGTTCCTGGTTCCTTGGGCGGACGATCTATTTATTGGTGCCCCGGAGGACAAGGTAATATTCTGTATATGTTTCACTTAGTACAAATGCAACTGGATTTAATTACCTAGTATTGCAGATATATCAAGAAAAACTTTTTTTAAGGTAATACCGCTTACTGTCCACGACCAACAGACCCTGATGGTTATATTTACTGCTGTACTCATGGTTATGACATCACCATACCCAGCTGCTGTAGATTTTCTACATTTACTGGTCTAATTTATGCATATTATTTTAGTGCTGTTATAGCCATAGCAAGTAAGTTCAATTTTTGGATTCAAACAGTTACTGGAAAGCAAATAACAAAAATGTATTTATTTTTTGATGGTCTTGATTATAGTGCGTTACTGTTTTGCGTTTTCAATCGTCAATTTTTTAGATAAGAAAGAAAAGTTATGCAAATGAATTATTTTATAAATTATTGCCAGTGTAATATGTTTTATTTAAAGATAGAAAAAGCTATATTTTTGTGGGCAAACTTATCGTTTAACATCGTTATGCTTTTTTGTCTACTCATACCTTTGGCAAAAAAAAAAA